CTCCACCGGCTCGGGCGACGCGTCTAAAGGGCGGCCAACTTTCGTCGTGGGCTCTGTGGGGACAGGGAGGTTGTTGGCTGCCTCTGGGGTGGGGGAGACGCTGCACCCCTCCCTCTGACCGCCCATCCTAGACTCCAGTAGTCTCCCCATCTAGGAACCAAGGGCCACCCCGGGCCACCGGGGAGTCGCCCCGCTGCATGCTGTAACCAGGGCAGACAGCTTTCAAATCTTGGTTCTCACCTCTGCTCGTGCCCCAAACCAGCCAATCCCCCTGACATCCCCCCACACTCCCACCTCTCTGCCCTTGTAGGGCAAGCGCCACCTCCTAGTCTCATCTCTTGGAGTCTGCCTCCTGGGAAGATGATGGGGGCCACCTGCACCCACCTGTCCCCCTCCCAGGTGTCTTAAGGTGGTTTTAGCCATCCTGTCAAATGTGCTTTGCACCTCTCCCGGAAACATTTGGCAAAAAGCTGTCCATGTAGAAGCAAGGGCAAAGACAGATTGCAGGGATGGCCCAAAGCTGGTCACAAGCAGTGCAAAGGGTAGTACCCGGGTTTAAACACTCACTGTGAGAGGACTTGTCTTGGGCTCTGCACAGCTCTGTGGGGGACTGGCTGGAGAGTACATCACTCCTCTTCTTGAGGAAGCAGGCCACCACCACCAAGAAGCAGCAGATGATGGCACAGAGACAGAGCCCCAGTGTGCAGTAGACCAAGGCCAGCTGATCGTTGTTCAGCTTTGGTCCTAGGGGTGCTGCAAGACAGCATGACATCCTGGTTTCAGGAGAAACCTCACTCTCCAGGGCCTTCCCCGAAGGGCTGCCCTTTAGGCCCGCAGCCACTATCCACCATCCCCAGTCCAGGTACCTACAGGCCCTCAACGCCATGATCCTTCTCTTTAGGGTCAAGCAGTCCACATGGCCAGCTCCAGTCCTGGCCTGTTGCAGGCCCATCTGGCTGATGGAATGAATGGTGGGTTCCTTTCTTGACCTAAGCCCTGGCTCACATGCTTTCTGGATCCTGGAGGGTCTGACTCCTTCCACCCTATACTGATAGTAACTTCTCCTAAGACCTCAAAGCCAGACACATCTGGAGCTGGTCCTTTCTGTCGTTTTCACTTGCTGGACAGTTCCAGAGGTGTATCAAAGCATGGACAGTAGTCCAGGGGAAGATGTCGTGTCCAATGAGAAGCCTTCCTGGGTAAGGTTACACTTTGGGAGCAGGGCCAGGGGGATTGCTGAGGAGCCTGAGGTACAGCTGGGAACAAAGAGGGAGCTGGGAGAGAGCCTTCAGTGAATGACAGAGGAAGAGCCAGCTCAGGGCCAAAGCCCTCCCTTGATATTTCTTCTAATCCCAAAGTCTGATCCCTGGAATTGAGGCATGTCCTCCAGTGGTGGCAAGCCTATGGCACATATGCTACAGTGGGCTATTTATCATTGAAAGCTCTAAAAGGTTCACCATCCCAGTGAGTGGAACTGCTGAGTCTGATGTAATGCTTAATCGGCGTCACATTTTTGGGCCAATCCGTCTGCCAGACACTTTCAGTAAAATACTCTCCTTAATCCTCCCACTCCGACAGAGGAGTGATTACACCCATTTTAAAATTTGAGATGCAATTTGTATACCATCAAGCCCACCATTTTAAAGTATGCATTTTGGTGGTTTGTAACACGTTCACAAGATGCTCCCCCATCTCCACTGTCTAATTTAAGACCATTCCTGTCACCCAGAAACAACCTCTGCCCCACAAGCTCTCAGCACCCATTCTCCCCTCCTCCCTGGCAACACTGCTCTGTCGCTGTGGGTATGTGTGTTCTGGATAGTTCATAAATGGAACCAACACAATGTGGCCTTTTGTTCCTGGCTTCTGTCACTTGGCATCATGTTTCCAGGGCCCACGTGTACAGGGTCACACGTTCATTTGTGCGTGGCTGAGTAATATTCTGTTGTGTGGACAGTACCACATTTTGTTCATCCATCTGCCAGGTGTTGGGCGTTTGGGCTGTTGCCCACTTTGGCAACTGGAAAACCTTGCTGTGAGCACACATATATGAGTCTTAGCATAGATGTTTGTTCCCAGTTTTGGGGGATCTGAACCCAGGAGGAGCATTGCTGGATCACAAGAGGCCTTAACTTTATAAGGAGCCTCCAGACTATTGTGCACAGCACCCCCACCATTCACACTGCACCTTGCAGATGACACATCGTCCACATTGTTACCAGTCCTTAGACCTGCAACTGGAAGCCGGCCTGACCAACTCCCCCGCACCAGTGCTCCAAGTCGGCATTGGACAGAGGCCACACTAGGACAGTGCTGACCCTCACTTGTGAGTTCATAAAGACTGGGATGGGGGAGTAGACAGGAGTCTGAATGAGCTGGCATCACTGTGGTGCTGCCCTGCATGTCCTGAGCCCAGGGAGGAGGGGAAGAGAGGGAAATCAGCCCCTATCCAGAGGCCATGCCCCAAATGCGATGGCTCCCGATGTAGTGCTGCGCATCTCAAGCCTGGGGCTCTGCTCCCACTGGCCTCCGGCATACAATGAAAACATCATACTATCTAGATCAATGGGGGTAAGCTGGCAGCATTCACATCAGAGACAATGCCAGCCACAAGACTGTTCCTGATTGGAATGGGTTGCTGTGTCGACTCAAGGAGAAGATTTGAGAACATGTTTTCAGTATGAGGGTTAAGCACCACACTCTGCTACCGTGACAGTGAGTGTTTGGAGCCAAGCTTCCAGGGACTCTGTCCCCAACACTACCACTTCTGGCCCCATGAAAGACCCCAAGGGAGAGCAGCAGACCTACCTAACTGAACCCCATTGCCCCAGAACAGTGAGAGAGAGTAAAATGGCTGTGCATTTTAGGGCACTAAACTGCAAGGAGCTTTACACGCCAGGAAGGTTGACCAGCACAGAGCCCTATGCCCCCAAGGCAGTGAGGACCTGTCCCTGACTTTATTTGCCCCTCCTGCCCAGACCAATGATTTGAGTTTTCCTGTTAGGAATGAAAATAGTTCCTGTTTGGAGACCTGCCTATGAGATATTCTTTTCAAAGCCCCTGGGCTAAAAGTAAAAATACACATTAAAACAAAAACAACAACAAAAAGTCATTTTCTACCTGTCACACAAGGATATCAGAAGACGGGCCTTCAGCATTTTTTGAGGGCCATTTCGGACCACCTATCACCATTTCAGATGTACTTTCCTGATTCCAGCGGACTGTCAGTTTCATGCATAGGGTTATGTCCTCCCAAACGTACACGGACACTCACTGCAACACTGTTCACAAGAGTCACATTCAACACAGCCTGAGGGGCACACACAGTCACTAAAATGAACAAGGTGGGTCTGTGTGTTTTGAGATGCAGCAATCACCAGGAGTGACACAGCAAGGTAGGCACTCTGATGCCACCGCGGTGAGGAGACATAAATGTGCCTCCGTATAAGATTATGTTGTTAGACTAGACAAGAAACTGCTAATTGGCATTGCTTCTGGGGAAGCTTGGGAGTCAGGTGCGTACCTGTTACATAAGCCAATGCAGTATTTGTTTTGTTTGTCTCTTTTGCATTTTGTTTTTAAGAACTGTTTTCGAAGCCACCTCTTGCCTAAGAATAGAATTTTCCTGGCCTGCCACTGCCGTGGCTCAAGCTCAGACTCAGGATGTCCAGTTCACCTGTCCTTTAGGGCTGTGCACAGGAAACCTTGCAGCCCCAGTCCAGCTTGAGCTCAGGTAAAATACAAGGGGGAGGGAAGGCAGGGAGGCTCTGCAGCCACAACTGCATGTGGCGTTGGACATTGGACTGTATTTCTTTGTGCCTCCGTTTCCTCATCTATAAAATGCAGTTAGATATTCCTGTTCCTCAGCATCACTTTGCATCAGTGAGATAATACATGCGAATGCATTGGAGGCCGAAAGATCTGAATGGGAAATTCCAGCAAAGTACCAAGTGCTCCAAAGCCTCTCTTCTCAGCCAGCCAGGGGAGGGAACCTGGAAGGGAGAGGAGGATGGAGGGTGGCTGGGCAGAGCCTTGGGAACCCTGGTGCTGGGGCCTGGCTTGGGGCTCCCCTCCCTTCCAAAAGACTCTGGGGTCTTCATGTCTACCTGGTACCTTGGGCTCCCTTCCACCCTCTGCTTTTCTCTGCTTCCCTCCTGCATTGTCTCTCCTTCCTCTGAGTTCTGTGCATATTCGATGATGTTTGGTTGAATGTGTGATGCAGAGGGGTTTCCTGCATGAGCCCACAGCCTCATATTAGGTCTCAATGGGCCTTCCCTGCAGAGGACCCCCTGCTCTGCGTGTGTGTGTGTGTGTGTGTGTGTAAGTTTGTGAGTGAGTGGGAGGGTGGCAACAGCCCTCACATTTAGAGTGTGGACTTTCACCAAAACCCCAGTTTCCAGAATGTCACCTCCCCTACTCCATTCACCTCTGGGATCCTTTAGTCTTTCTGAAACTACTTCTCCTGGAGTGATTCTATGCTGCTGGAGGGAGGGGGTTGTCCTGGATGCACCAGTGCTCCTATTTCCAGCCCTCTGCCGGCCATCTGCTGGCCTTCCGTGGGCCACGTCTCTCCAGTGCCTCCCTGGAGCCCACGTCCTACTTCAGCTGCTGCCTTTTCTTCGGCTCTACTCACAGCCTAATCTCCTCTTCCCTCTCTGTTACCCATCTCAGCAGGTCCCAGGACGTTGGCTTCAGCCCTGGGGAGTGTTGTTCTGCTTCCACTGTGACATTCCAAGGACAGCCAGAACAAAAAAAAAAAGGCCCAGAGACAAACAGAAACCAAATAATAAAACCAGCACTAAGGCTACCCTGGCCTGTTCTAGATTTCAAAATAAATGAAACCTTGATAAGTTCCTGGGCCAATGCCATGTAAACCCTCAACCCTGGCAGCACTGATCACTAAGGTCTGAGCAGGTCTGCACTCAAAACCATGATTCTTTCACAGAGAAATGCTTGGTTCTCATCAGGAATCGCTGTTAAAGAAATCATAGGCATCATCATTGTGGACTGAGTTCCTGTGCTGGCTGTAACAGGCCACGCTATCACACTGGTGTTACTCATGCTAAACTTCCACGTCACCATGCTGAAACCAAGCTGTTCTGACTTTCTGAGAAATCAGGCTTAGAGTCTTAACAGCCAAATTACTCAAACGGAAATTCTCTCTGTCTTAATCTTCCACGTGAAAGTTTACCTGGAGTAACTGGATGTTAATCAATCAATTCTCTTTCTGTTATTTTCCTTCTATATCCCTCCATTACAAGGAATGAAACTTTGAAATAACCAATCTGCTTGTTCTCTGTTTCTGATTTCTTCTTTCTGCTCACCTCATTGGAATACTTATTCTGTTTTATGGAATGAAGTGCTGTTTGATTCTAAAACTAAAGATAAAGCCAGTTGGGACTGTTAACTTAATTGCTGTCATTTTGTCCTTTGATAGGACCAACTGCGGACTTATTCGTCTCAGGTACTGAGATGATGACTATGATTGCTTATTGGCCTCACACCCACCTAGCATCTCACCTGACCTCCCTCCAAATTCAACTCCATGGCCCTCTGGCTCCCACCCCCTCTCCTCCCTGGACCTCCGTTCCACCACTTCTGTCCGCTTTTGTGTGTGGTAGAGTCAGACTCACTAAAGTCAGAGGACTGAGGACTCGGCAGGTGGCTGTGCTAAGTGAGAGGGGAGAAGAAGGGTCCAGGCTTGTTGGACTAAAGGACCATGAGAGAGGAGTTTGAGGCCAGTGGGTTGGGAGCTAGCCTAAAGCCCTCCTCACCCACGGTTGGAGCAGAGAAGGCCACCAGGGGCTGGATGAAAGGTTTGGGGGGCAGCTCACCTTGCTTTCAGACTCCTATCCCTAGAAGTGTAAGCAGATCACAGTGTTGTTTTAAGCCAGTTACAGGAGCCACAGAAAGCGAACACGTCTCACCCAGTGAGGGCAGCCGACCCTTGTGTGCAGGAATGGTCTGCACACTTAGCAAACTCAGAGCCACTTAGCATGGGAGGGCCCCAGAGGTAGGTGCCCTCATGATCATCACAGGTGGGGAGTGATGGGCACAAGCAGTCCTCAGACTTCTGTAAATCACCAGAAGATGGGGCTGGAACCCAGCAGCAGGCAGGCTGGCCAAAACCACCTGCGGGTCTTATCCTGGGCCTCCAGGGGACCCATGAATGGAATCTAGGGGCTTTGTGACTTGGAAAAGAAGACATTTATTTCTGGTGATGGCCAAATGAACTATAGCCCTACTACCACTATTCGTGGAGGAAGCCAAACCCCCAGCAGCACAAGAGTGATGGCAGTAACATTTCCAGATCCCCTGCAGCAGTTTCAGAGAGCCCTAAACATCATCTGTGCTTATCATTAGTTTGAACCGACTGTTATCCTTGGCTACTACTTGGAGCTGGTTCTCTTAAGGCATGAATACAGAGCACCTGAGTTTATTTTATTTTATTTTGTTTGTGTGTGTGGTGGTGGTGGTACTGGGGATGGAACCCAAGTAGCTACATCCCTATCCCTTTTAAAAGGTTTTGTTTTGTTGTTTGTTTTTGTTTTTGTTTTCATCACAGGGTTTTGCTAAATCGCCCAGGCCAGGTTTGAATTTAACATCCTCCTGCCTCAGCCTCCCAGAGTGCTGGGGTTACAGGTATGCACCAGCACTCCCACCCAGCATGACAATCTGTTCCACATTTTGATAACTGTATCTCAAGATCAGTAGTTTTCTTGTTACCCTATGGATGCGTCTGCTCATTTCTAAGGCATCTGTGGTAGAGAGCAGATTTGAGGTCCTTCCCACCCAGTTCCTAACCTCAAACTTACCAGTAGCCTCCCCAAGCTAATTCATAGCCTCCAGTATCTTCAGAAATTGCTGCTCCCAGGGTATCTGATGCCTTCATCACCATTCTTGCCCCAGGGGCAGTGAGGAAGACCTCCTTACAATTGCCTCTGACCCTGTGACCCCATGGCCACCCCCTGCTTCTGGCAAGATGTGGACTCCCTGACGGCACTGTCACCTGACCCTTCCAGTGCAATGTCCAGCCATCCCAGATGCCTGTGGCTTCTGTCTCTGTCCCCCTCCTCTGTGAACCATCCTCCTGTGCATCTCCTCCAAGCCACCCAACAAGCCACCACTCGCTCAGAGAGAAGCAGACACTTCTGGAAGGGTGGCCCTGACCCCCACAGGGAGTCACCCCCTGGCTAGAGCTGTCTGGATTACTGGTGTTGAGAGTTTTAAGCTTCCTGGTCCTCCGGCCCCTCAACTCCACATCTGGGCACGCTGATAAAGCCCGGGGCCCTGAGCCCCTTCCACTCATGGCATTATCACTAGATTCTCCTGGACACAGGGGATGCTGGCCAGCCGCCTCCTGCTGCCTCCACTGCTGTCAGACTGGCACAGGAGGCCTGGTCTTCCTGAATGGTCTCCACAAGCAGCCTGGCTTTCCCACCTCATGGTACGTAGGTCATCTGTCTCAGCTGTCCTCGTTTCCAACTTCTGCTCATGACAGATCTGTCTCTATCATAGTCTGGCTTAAAGACCCCTCCCTGGGGAAAACTTCCCCTCGCTTCCCCTAGCTGGACTATGTTGCTGTCACACACTGAGATTATCATCTGCATACGTTTTGTCCTCCATGAGACTCTGATGTCCCTGGGTAGGACAGAATCTGCCTTGCTGAGGTGGGGCCTGGCGGGGATGGGGGTGAGAGGTGGGTTGCCAAATTCAGGGGACCTACAGAGGGGACAGGAGACCGATCAGCCCTTGCACTGTGTGCAGTAGCTTGGTCACATGGTGTCCTCTCTCCCCGTCCCCAACTAGGTCTACCTCTGGGACCCTTCCTTATAAATGTGGACTTCCTGTTTACAATCTACATGAGCTCAGCCCATGCCCACCAGCACATGTGGGGTCAAAGGAGAGAGAAGAACAGGTCTCACCCCCAGAATAAGGGAGAGATGCAGGGCAAAAGCCAGCACAGCAAGACAGTTACCAAGCCATCGCGGTCCTGGGGGGCCCATGGTGTCCCCTGGCTGAGCCGTGTATAACAGGCAGCCAACGCTGAAGGGTGAGGCATAGTAATGCCCATCTCCCAAGGACCCAACGTGTCCATACACACCCTCCACTCACACATCAAGCGGAACCAAGGTGAGGGTCTCAAGATCTGCCCAGTGCCCTCCATGGAGAGGGGTTGGCTGGGGGTCGAAGGGAAGTGGCTAACTTCATGCTCAGGGAGCAGTAACCCATGGATGTACTCTGCGGCCATTTGCTGCTGCAGGGTGGACAAACTTTGGGACCCACAGACTAGGCTCAAAGCCCAACTCAGCCAAACACTTGCCATTTGACTCAGGGAATCACTCCAAACTCACACTGAGTTTCTTGATCTGTAAATTGGGTAACGTTTTTTAACTCATTGAGTTTATTGGTACATTTTAGGTATACAGTATAGTTACATTCATTACTGGGATCTTGTACCTTTACATGATGGGTTTTGGTTCTCATTTTTCCCCTTGTCCCTGCCCTCCCTTCACTCCCTCCTCCCCTCCCCATTTACAAACACTTTATTTCCATTTTTTTCATTTTCTCATATTTTTTTCTTTTCCCTTATTACCTTTCCCCTACCCTTCCCACTTTCCCTATACCTTTAGCCCTTTTCTTCCTAGTTCACATGGTTAATTATCTCTTTAGGATCTTGTGTACTATTATAGTTTATTCACACCAGAGAAACTATTCGGTATTTCCACATGTGTGACTTATTTATTTCACTTAGGAGTATATCCGCAATATACATCCATTTTCCTATGAATGACTCTAATTTCTCATTCTTTCTGGCTGAGTAGTATTCCATTTCATAGAAAAACCACATCTTCTTTATCCATTTAGGTAAGATTGACCTGAAGGGGAACCTTGCCTCTGAAGTGGGAAAGGCTTTAGGCTGGTAAGAAGAAATAAATCTGTCACTGAGTGCAGGAAAGGAACATGAGTTAGTAGACCCTGGAGGGGAGACGTGGACATTTGCCAGGACCACAGACACCATGTTTGTTGGCCTTCTGTATCCAGACCACTCCCTCCCCTTCTCTTATGGGAGAAGCTGTACTTGATCAAAAATGATAACAAAATCACCAGGACTAAAAATCCTTTGCCACTCCTCCAGCAAGATGGGACACCTATTCCCCCAGTCCCTCTGCAATCTGATGGCTTTGTGACTTGTTTGGATGACAGAGCACAGAGGTAGTGAGTAACGCAAGTTCCCACATGGCAAGAGGCCCGTGTATGTTTCTGTTCCTTACACTCTTGCCGTTGTCATGATGAAAACAAGCTTGGCCAGCCCCTGGTTATAGGAGGAGGATGAGGACACATGGGACAGAGTCACTCCACGAGCAGCCTGACATAGCCAACGCCAGCAACCTCAATTTATAAGGATTCCTAACCCACTGAGTATGGGGATAGTTTGTTACACAACATGGTTTGCTAACAGAAAACAGGTAGGAGTCAAGATGATGAGAATCACATAGAACCTGGGCCTGGAAACTTCCATTGTCGGGTGCACCAACCCCACCTTTGGCGTCGTGGCACTGAGGCCTGGCCTTATGGCAATGATGTCATATGAGGAAGTCACAGTAAAGGAAACAACAGTCAGCCCTTCAGGAATTTAGGCTTATTCTCCCTCCACAGATGGGCCATGAGCAATGCCAAGGTCACTTCAAATGTCCATGGCTCTTCAGAGCGACCCCTTCTACCCTCTAGACACCATTGAGCAGAGTGGGTGAGCTGATAGACATTTGCTGGGAGCACCAATTAGATTATTTCTAATGCCTGATACTCAGTAGATGCCCAGCTCAACAGGACACTGCTTTTCATGTCCAACGTGACCATAAACTTTTTATTTTTTCCTTCTTATGTTTAGGAAGCTTCTACCTGCTCAACTGGGGAGAGCAGGGGAAGGATATTAAATCCCAGTTGGACAGGAGAAATACCGTAACTTCTGGTTTTCATTAAACCCTAAGTTGACTTTAGATAATAATAATGTACTGTACATTTCAAAAAGTTAGGAAAAAAATTTTGATTTCACCACACAAAAATGATAAATATTTGAGGAGATAAACTTTTCCAGCTTTGACTATTACAAAATTTATACATGTATTAAAACAGCACATGGTACACCATAAATATGTATAATTTTTGTGTCAATTAAAATACATAAACTAAAAAAAAAAAAAAAAAAA